TAAACCCCAACAGAAAAAAAAAACCCCCCCTTTAAAAAAAAAAAAAAAAAAAAAAAAAAAAGAAAAACCAAACCTTTCTATCCCATCCTTACTGTTGTTAAAACAGCCTCTCAAGTGTGCCTCTTCACTTCTTACGTAGAAGAGGGGGACACCATCCCTTTGCCAGTAAGATTGAAAAGGTCTAATCCTAAATAAGATGCTTTATCTCACATCTTAGGGTCATTTTAATTCCACATGGCCTGCATTTCCATGGGAAATGACATTGGGAAGTGTTGAGCAGGGAGAAATTGTCCTGTTCCCCTTTAGGGTTTTTTCCTAAATAATTAGTCTGATAAAACAGAGTTGTGATCAACACCTCTGTTTATAATTAAGGCTAAGTTATGGTTTGCATTTAAAGCAAAAGGTTGTTTCATGCAAAACAAGAATTCAGTTTCTTATCTCCGGATATACAGCACTTTATGCTTACGGGGTGGAGGATACAGTTCTCAAAATTCAAGTAAATCCATTAGTCAGGAAAATCCATTTTCCTTCAGGGAATTTTGCATCTTTCTCTTTGTTTTGATTGATCATAACATAGAATAATACAGATTCTTCCAAAAAGTCCATAAAGGTTAACTATATGGACATCTTGTCCATGAGCAATATTTGAGGAAGTTGGGTTGAAGTTGAACTTAATCACTAGCTGTTAATGCTGGGAGTTCATATCAGTAATTTAAGGTCAGATGCATTACACAGATGTTGCAGCATTCCCCAAAACAAGAGGCTGAGGCTAAAGCGCAAAAAAAAAATCCAAATATTTGAACGTATGCAAATAATTTGCCTGTAGTGACACCATGCAGTAATAATACAATTAAGATTAAGGCATTTTGCATGCTTGTAGTGTAATTTAGAGCAGATTTGGTCTTGGAGATTTTGAGTACCACAGGAATTGGGAGTTTCTTTTCATGTATTTTCTGAGCCCTGTTTGTGTTTGTGTTTTGATGTATTGACTTTCATAATATTTGACAGTGATTAAAAATGCTGGAAATATAAGTGGAAGAAGAAACAAGAAATTTTCTGTACCGAAGCTGCCCCTGAGATTAGTGCTAAATTAAGAGGAGATATGTCTGAATTAATGGGATACAGCAGAGGCATAGTGTCTGACATGGTATTCATCACATAAGAAATACTAATCACTATAAATAAAACCCAAACCAGAATGCATTAAATAAATAATTTGTTGGCAAGGACTTTACCAGAGAAGTTAACTTGAGGATGCTAAGAGACCCATTGTGTGATGGCAAAGACTTCTTCCCAGGACTGTCTGCAAATTACCAAAGCAATCACTTGGTTTCTGTTCTGCCCAGACAATACATTCCCCAAATGCAGATGTTTAAAAATGAAAAACAAATCTTCTGTGCTCTTTGCTATAAAAAAAATATTTGTAAAAAAAATACTTCAAGTGTGTGGGGCTAGTACATGAATTGTGTACAGTTCAAAACTTAAAAGCTGAGGTTTATTGTGGAAATTAACTTGATTATAAAGAAGTAATTTCTGCATAAATATTTGATGAGGCGTGTGTGTGGTATATGTGTATATATGTGTATACTGTCGCCAAACTATATAATCAGATGCAAGCACACTTTATTTGCCTCATAGCTTGTTTTCCCAGAATATTTTGATTAATTTTCTACTTTCAGTGTTTAAATGTAAAAACACTCATGGGACTAGGGTGATTTAAAACTTCTAAAAAAATTATGGAAATGTGCAATACAGATGTTAGTCTAAGACACAATAGACACAAGTGGTTTTTTTTACATACGTGTGTGTGCACACTTTTGCACACATGTATGTGCATCGTCTTATACAGTTGCCACATTTTAAAGTATAATTGCATATGTACAAGATAATTTAAAGTTATCTTGACTTTTTGATTGGTTGTATTTAGGTCTGGATGTGCACTACTACTGTTAGTGGATAGAATTGAAACATTGCTAAACTAACTAAAACTTCAGCAAGACAAAAATAGTTACCATTTTAGTTTATTTAGGCTGGTTTCAGCTACCAGTCATAAATTTGCACATGGCAAATGCTAGATCTTTTTCCCTCAAAAAAATGTTTGTTTAAATGGTTATCATGTAATGGGAATGTTACGATTATTCTGAAGCTTTGAGCAACTTTTATTTTTTTTCCCCCCTTTGTTCAGCATTACCTAAGGAATATCAGAAGATAGGAAAAGCCTTGCAGAGCCTGGCACTGGTTTTCAGCACCAGTGGCTATCAAGGTATTTTTACCTTCATTTGCACTTTGCTTTGGTGTTATAGAATGTTTTAAAGAACTCTTAAGTATACAAAATACTATTATTTATTATCATTTTGAGCTCTTAATTAAAAAGACATTTTAAACATTTTGGTTAATTTCTGATAGGGTACCTATCCCTCATTTCAAACAGTGCATTAAGTAATGTAAAGCGTGGAAACGAGACTTCAAACTGATATATTTTAATTACTTTTTTCAGTGTGAAGTATTTTATGGCAGAAGTCTGATTTTTAATATTAATATATAACCTGGTTATTGACCTTGCAGCCTACTGTAGCATTTCTGGGATGACCCATACTTGTATGGCACAGTAAAAGTGAATGGATGTAAAAACCTATCCTGTCAGAAAAATTCAGTGACATTTTAAAAACATTTTGTTAATTACCAATCCCTGTTTCCCTGATTTTGGGATATTATTTTAAGAGCCCTATCTAGCTATCTGTAAATGGAATTTGTCATGTCTAAGCATGGGAATGAGAGAGAATTTCATATGCATGAAAGAATTAATTGGAAACAGTTTTCTTTTAGTTGGTTTTTTTTGTACTTTATCCTGAAAAGTCAGTATTTGAGACCAAATTAAATTTCATTTTACTGTGTTTCTAATAGGCTGGCTATCATGGTCAAGATTTACTTGTTTGTGCATACATTGATAATTATCTTAAAGACATCAGCCTAAAAAAAGTGGGTGATAAACCACTGCTGTATCACCCACTTTTCAAGGTAGTTGAACAGGATTATTGGCCACACTAACTCTTCCAGTGTTTTCTTAAGCAAAGACTTATAGAAAAGATTCACCAGTATGGGAAAAGACCTGTCTATTCCTCGTTTGTTTGTTTTTGGTTTAAGGATTCAGGGAAAAATAATGTTGAAATTTTTTTTAAGACTTTGTCTCAAAATGAACCTGAATGTTTTAATACCTTGACCGTTTTCCCACTGAACTTCTCTTCAAAGGATTTCTGTTCTTTTTTCTCCATTCTTTTTATTGACTGGTGTTTCATACTTGCTGAATTTTTAGTAATATTATTCTAGCTGGGATTTATAATTTGCTTGCAGCTAATTGGTCCCTTGCATTGTATCCTCCTATAAGCTTGTGTGTTAGTTTGTTTTTTCTGTATTTGTGTTCCCATGGTTTAGGTTTTTTCTTTGTGTATTGATTATACTTTAAAATAAGTAACAATCATACTTCTTAAGATATCTGTCTAAAAATCTGGAATTTGGTATGAGATCCAAGAGGAGAAAAATTGCAATGCAGCCTTGGACTGTGTATAGGGTTAGAAGCATACAAATCCTTTTTGGAACCAAACAAAGCCAGTAGCAAGAGTTCTGGGGAAGGGACTGACATTTGACTTCGGTAACTATATCATGCATATTCTTTTACCAGGGTAAAGTGAAAACAATGTGGCTTAGAAAGCTAGGATGCAAACTTGCAGATCAACCTTATGAAGGAAACCTGCAATTTGATTTCCAATATCTTCAAATGGTATGAGAAATAGACCATGATAAATAGCAACTAGGTAGAACTATCCCCCTTTGCTCTCCTAGTAGGACATGGTTGCACCCTAGTGTCTTGCTAAAAGAAATAGCTTCCTTCTAGTGGAGATCCTTTGTCCTTGCTCCTAATATATTTCACTTGTCAATACACTTAGCACAATAGACTTTTTTTTTAAATTAAGAAATATGAGATTCTTTGCTTCACAGTCCAGTTCCCAGAAAAAGAGAGAAGTTACTTAAAGCAATCAACATGCACAACTTCATCACTACTGGTTGTGGTGCTTTGTCCACTGTTAACTTGATCTCATCTGGTGGCTGCTATGGAACAGGCCCTGCAGAAGAATCAAGACAGACACATGAATGGATTTAAAGCCACAGCCTGCAAATGTATTAACTTTTTAATATTAGAAAGAGGGTGTTGACTCCTACTTGGCATGGTTTTGTCTCCTTCCCTCCCTAACAACCAAGCTTTAATTGGAGCTTAGTGTAGGGTTAAATGGCTTCTGACCATGCAATTAAAGGATAATGATTGCATTGCCCTACCACTCAATACATGATTTGGCTCACTGTTGACTAAACATAAGGGAAAACTTGGTAGAGAACTCAGTTTGAATATGTAGGCCACCTGTCCTTCTAAAGTTCTCTACTCAAGTAAATTTATCTTTTGGTGTTGGCCCATTTTATGGTTCAGGGCCTCATTCCTACAGTTCACCCTAAATTCTGCCAGAAGTTTGATTTCAAATGGAGCCAGGTACAAATACTTTCTCCCCTAAATGGACTACCAGCCTGCTAAGTGCAGTGTGAAATGTCCACTAAGTAATGCAGGTAAGTCATGAGATGGTCCTACATTCTGTCACTGCTGTCAAAATAATGAGGATAGTTTTGGTTCTGCTTATAACCTTCTGAACTAGCCACCTGCTTTCAAACTTGGAGCACCACTGTGTGTCCACAAGTCCAGACAGTTGTCTCTTCACTCTTGCCCACTGAAAATGGTAAACCAATGTTAGCCCACACCACCTGCTTTCTCTGATAGCCTGCATTCACACTACAGAAAGGACATCTTACATTCTGATTCCTAGTAGCTTTTAGCCTAGAATGTCCAGAAACTCATGCCCACCATGGCTATGCCAGTCCTGAAGGATTATGTGTTCTAATTTACTAGATTAAGTACTAGAAAAGGAAATCCTTGTCAGTTAACTGTTAGTTCCAAGCAGGTACAAGAGGTCTTCAAGGGCCAGAAAGAACATCTTCTAGCTTTTAGTGGACACGCACTTATTCCAGATATTTTTTTGAAAAGGTTATGGTCTTACAAACTCCCTGATCCGCTTCAAGAATCTCTCGCTTTAAACACCCAAAGCAGACATCAGGAGGTTCCAGAGTACTCCTGGAGATGCTGTTCCTTGTCAAATGTATAAGGAGTACCAGAAACCTTAAAAAGTATCATCTTTTTTTCTGCAATGTCAAAAGTGGAGCAAACTCCTATCTACACCTGGAAAATCTGAGTGGCCGCGGAGGCCGGCCATATACCTGAGTTTGCTGGTCATGTCTCCTATCTTCAAGAAATCCTTGAATAAAGCTCCCTCGTGATCATACACATCCTGTCAGCTGGCAACAAATAAACTAGGCCAAAAGGTGACTAGTTTTATGTTGGATGTTGCTAACCTGTAGTTATTAGTCACAGCACTTATCTTGCCACCTGAAACTCAGGCTAAATAAGAGATGCCTTTTTTCTGCATCCATTATCCTGGTGAAACCTGCCCTGAAAATTTGTAATGTCCTTGGCAGAAGACTCTACTGTTCCAATTTTAGGGCTGTCAGGAACCATGTGTCTATAGAAAATGGTTAGCAACTTGTAAGCAGTTGTAAGTGGCAAATATAATTCATTATCAGGGTCTGCCTTCCAGAGAGAGTAAACTTTAGAAGACTGACTACCCGTGCTAGAAATACTCGGTAAAAGATAGTTAATAACAGTGCAACACTGATTCTTACCTACTCCCTTATTTGCACTGACTTTACAAAGTGCCACTTAAATTACATATGCTTATTTCAAATTAGTGCCTAGGCCACTTGAGTACTCCTTCTCCTTATACCCTGTTACCTGTTTTTTTTAAAGATAACAAATAACTGTACTTCCAAACTGTACTTCTCCAGTTGAACTGCTAATAACTCTTCAGTGAACTGCCTCAATCCCCTCCTCCACCACTAAATCTTCCCTCATCTTTGTCACAATGATAGGGATAAGAGTTGAATGTCCTCAAGGGTAGATGCTGGGTGTTCACAGAATGCCTTGCCATGCATGTCATGATTGTGGGCAATCCTTGGATATAGCCTTTATCAAAATAAACCTCAGACTGAAAACTCAGATCTACGGGGGTAAATCTACCTGGGGGAAGAATATATGTTGTACCTTGCCAGCAAAATATCCCCGATGTATTTTTAACTTGTCCACCTCCTCCTTGAACGAGGGAGAGGTAAACTGAGAACAAAGTTTAATGCTATGTTCACTGGGGCCCTGAGAGGACAAAGTAAAATAAACCTGTACAGCTGAGGGATCCGATGAAACCACATGGGCAGCTCCTCAGGCTGTCTCACTATGCTGGACTACAAGTCCCTGTTGAAGCTCATCCTTAACTACATGGTGGAACCCCTAATCTGACATCAAATTTTTATATCAAATGTGAATACTGTCCTATCAGTATGGACTTAAATACCTGTCCAAACACCTGCCTAGTACTTTGTGTTGGCAGCTGGCTCTTCAGTGTGTTTAACTTAAGAAAGGTGGGGTGGTGTTGTATATGTTTTCTCCCCCTCTAGTGCCCGCTCTTTCAAGGGAAGGCTACATACACTCTGTAGAAAAGTAGCATGTGGCTTACTGCTGAGGATGTTCTCTACATTTTGGTTTATTTTATGTAATTTTGCCCAAAAAATGACAAGAGAAATACTACTTGTTGCTTGTGTATACCATCCTGTCACTGGGAGCAACACCTGCATCAACTTGTCATGCGTCTCCTTGCTCCCCTCACCCTCAACTGCCTGCATTGATGTGGATGATGGTTATGGTACATATAATTCTCTTCTGACCACACCTGTGCTGTCCTTCTTTTACAGCCTGCTTCCCCAGTGAGGGAGTGGGCTGGGATGGTTCACCTCCGCCCTGTAGTTCTGGTGTGCTCCAGCCCATGAAGGTGCTGGGCTGGTGGAGAATTAGCTCCTGTCTCTGATAAAATGGGAAGACGCACTGTGGGCATTCTGGAAATCGGTTGTCTTGTACTAGATTTTTCCACAGTAGCAGACTTCCTATTCTAATTCATCAGTTCCCCATCTTGTCCCATAGTGAGTTGTTTAAAGTCAAGAGACTGTCCCTGGAAAACTAAAATTCTTAAGGGAAAGACAGGAAATTTCCCTCCTGAACCATAGAGAAATGGTTTCAATATCTGAGAGTATTTCTGAATTAACAAGGCATTTTGTTGTTTGTGGGTTGTGTGTGGTTTTTTCTTTTAACTTGTAAAGAAAACCATCATAAAGATTTTCATTCCATTATTGGGCAGGCAGAAAATACGATAGTAAATTATTTCAGAATTAAGAGAAAAAAGGACTTTTTTAAAGCATCATGCTGAATGTTGACATTCAGATGTTGTTCTGCTTCTGACTCTCTCAGTGTATCTAGGAGCTCTTCAGTTTTCTGAAACTGGAAAAAGTCTGCACATTGCCAGTGAAATGCAATAAAATTACTCTGTCACATTCCTATTTTCTTTAGGATGTACCCTGGTTTCAGTATACTTTTCTTAATCTCTTTGGCCGCATCCAGATAAATGTGGCTGTGTGTGGTATGTGGCATCACAGACAGTTCTGCAGCACCACATACTGCATATTTCATTGTTCTCCATACTGTGAGGGAGCAGCATGGGGCTTTTTGGACCCCTGGATAATCCCATGGAGAAAAAAAGTGGTGTGGCGCACATGGCAGCAGTGTACACCACCTGAAGCTGGAGTCTGGATGGCTGGAACCACACTGCTGCCAGCCAGGCTCTGCACGGCAGCATTGCTGCTACTGCAGCCCTGGGAGGCCCCCAGGTAAGGCTGCTGGTGCCAGTCCAGTCCTGACCCCAGCCTCCCCTACCCCACCTGGGGTAACTTGCTGTGCACCAGTGCGCACATGGCATAGGGGACAGCTAGCGGTGGCACAAGGTGCACCAGTGCTAGATGTCCCCAGGGAACCAAACATTCACACACATTGGACACGGCCTTTGTCCCAGGCGCAGAGCAGCTCACAAATGAGAAACAGTTACTGTTAAATTTTAAATTAGTTATCATTATACACAGATTTCTTCAGTTGCCAGATATTAAACTCCTTGAAATACATAATAATCTGATTGATAGCAAGTAAATAGGCTCTTTAGAAGATGAAGATTATAAGATATATGAAGATGTAAGCCTGTTGACTTAATTATACATATAACAATATTGTTAAGGGTCTTCTGTGAGGACGAAAAACAGTTAAGTCTTTTTAATCAGAAACGCACCCTGTCCCTGTTTCCTTCCTTTTCCAATACTTGAAGCCTACCATGTCATGGTCCAGAAAATCTTTTCCCCAACTGGTCAAAAACCCTGAACAAGCTAGTTCCAGGATGAAAAACTGTTGAGCATTTTTCAGGAACAAACATAAAATGTCTAAAGAAGAGAATTCCATGAATACAACTTTCTGCATCAGTGTACAGCATAGTGCTATAGGGCACCTATGCATATGCATTGAGGCTGCTCCAACGCACTGGAATTACAGTGCATCAGAGCAGACTCAATTTTAATAGAGTCTACTAGAGCGTGGTAATTACGCTACACTCCAGCTTCGTGCATGTCAGCGTCCCTGCACTGAAAAATGGCAGTGAGTGCACTGTAACTAAAGCTCGTTCAACAGTCTTTAGCTTAAATGTGTTGTAGTGAGTTTTTGAGTGTGGGTATAACTTTTATGACTTGGAATGTTTGGGGTTTGCAGTACTGATAATCTAGACTATCAAAAGTATTATTCATGAAGTATATAACATGCAGGTTTAATAAAAAAAAAAA